TTCAAAAATATTCTTAAATTGTTCTTAGTCTAAGGCCAATATATTTTTACCAACTCTTAAACGAATTCTAGTTTAATATAATTAAACTATATTTCAGTTTAAGGTACTCCTAAATAATCCTTAAGCTAGGCCTAGTTTAAGATGAAGGGTTTCCAAAATCTTAAACTTACCTTCGATTAAGGCCAACAAGAAATCGAACAGCGGAGTACTCACTGTCAGGTTGGGTGGTATCCCCAAATGAGTTCCTCGAGTTTGTTTTGTAGATCCCGTACGTACGTTTTAACCTAGGCCACCGAATATTCATAATTATACTCGCAAGGCCTATTTCTAAGCTATCTTAGAGGTCTTCTAGATAGTCTTAGAAACCAAAGTCAACCTAGGTATATCTTAGAGTTCTTCTAGATATCCTTACAATCCAAATCATTTCATAATCATCAACATATTCATTTCAATTCATAATTTAATCCTTGATAATCATTTTAATCAGTGGTTTCCTCAAGTCATAATCATCATAATAATCATTCATCATAATCATCAATCAACATAGCATTCGATAGCAAATAGCGGTCTAGCTTCGAGTAGTTACACCCAAACTCACCGTCATGCATCACATAACATTTTATTTGTCAAAAACATCATTTTTATTCTGGTAAATCATTTTTATAATGATCATAATCAATTGGTATCAAAAATAGGATTTTAGAACTCAAAGATAGCATTTTCACACAAATTTTCGGATCAGGACTTCGGGGGATCGATCCAGCCCTCTGGATCGTTCCATGATATGAAAAATTTCATCCAGGTTATCGATCCACCCATTTGGATCGATCCAGACAGCCTGGTTTTTGGTTACTGTTCATCTTCTTTTTCGTTCGAGTCCAATTTCGAAAATACCGTTTTTAGTTATCGAATTTCAATGAAACTATACAGAGATGTTCTCCAAGGTTCATAGATCATTTTGGCATCACTAATTCATAGTTTTAACATCAATTTAATGGTTTATGATTCTTGGTTATTTAAGCATGTCAAACACAAAACTCAACCAAACGACCGTTTATGAACGTAGAAACGATCTATACGAACATTCTAGTCACTAGATATATCAACGGGCTTACCTCAAAGAGTAATGGAGGTTTTGACGATATTCCGGCGAAACTTCCGGCGAGGATTGCGGCTAGCTTAGGCGACCTCTCAACAAATTGACAGCACCATAACACTCCTCACACTCTCAGGAACATAATAGGAAGAAGAATTGTGAAGAATGGTGAAGAAATAAAGAAGTTAGCTTCTTCTTCTATAGGGAAGATGATAAAGAGGAAGACACTTGCTGAGTAGATGCTGCGTAGATTTCCAAATTCACGATCTTCATTCGGCTGAGTGGAGTAGGAGGCGTCGTCCCTGATCGGGACTAATTTCGGTCCTTGTCGGGGTACACTTTTTGGTCTAACTTTCTCAGAATTGAAATCCGTTTGCATCATTGTGATCGTACAATTAAACACTATCCAACGATATAATTTTTATATTTATTCGTTATACTTTTTCCAACATCATATTTTTGGGTGGTTGACTTTAACAGAGTCAAAATTGATTTGTTTGACCTTTATTCAAAAAAGTGCTCATATTCAATTCATAATATTTATTTCCATGATTTATTTCAATAATTCATTTCAAAGTTCACATTATAAACAATTTCTTCATTTATTCTTAATTCGAGTCTGTACTCAGGTTCCCAATCAAGATCACACAATAAGTCAACATGTTGTATTTATCTCTATGAGACTTAGGCTCCGTTCTGTTCAACTTATTTTTTCTGATCTGATTTGATTCTAATAAGTTGTGATCTGATCTGATCTGATTGGATCTGATCTGATCTGATCTGATTGGATTTTATCTGATCTGATTGGATCTGTTCTGATCTGATTGGATCTGATTTGATCTGATTGGATCTAATCTGATCTGATTCAATCTAATCTGATCTTATCTGATTAATTATGATTTAATTTAAAATTTTAAATCAATAATTTAATTTGACTTTATAATAACGTTTGAAAATTATAATGATAATTCATATTATAATATAATCAATAGTTTTATTTAATGATTATTTTTTAATAAAATAAAAATAGTCAATTCATATATTAGAATAATCATTCATATTATAATGTAATAATATTTTTATTTTATGATTATTTTTTTGTAAAATTGGAATTATACATTAGAATAAATATTTAATTTAGATATACATTAAAAAATAATTAAATTTAGATAATCAATATATAGAAGAGATAGTATTTTTATTAAAATATCTCATCCTTATAAAAGATCAAAAGTTTAGAAACTCAAATTACAAGTAGCAATAAAAATATATTTTAAAAGTAGAATTAGATTAACATTGTAATGATGATGATGATGATGATGATGATGATGATGATGATCATAATAATAATAATAATAATAATAATAATAATAATAATAATAATAATAATAATAATAATAATAATAATAATAATAATTCTTGATGGGATCTGATTTTAATAAGTCCTGATCTGATCTAATCTGATTGGATCTAATCTGATTTGATTGGATCTGATCTGATCTGATTTTAATAAGAATAAGAAAAATAAGAAAAAATAAGTTGAACAGAATGGGGCCTTATTCAGATTTTGATATTGGATATCAAAACATATTTTACATCGGCCCAAAGCCCAATAATAATTCTTTTTAATCAAAACAAATTTTGTTTAATTGAATATTTAATTCAATAAATTTTAGGGTATATTTTGGGGCGTTACAACATGATAATCGGATGTCTCGCTACAACTCGCTGAAGGCTAAGTCATCCAAATCGGAAGACTAGCGCTGATCTCCTTCTCACCCGGGAGTCTGTGAACGACTCCTCCGGATTAGTCAGCAAAGAACTGGATGCCTCAAGGAAGACCAGAACTCGTAGAAGCGGACAAGTGAGAAAAGACCTAGAAAATTATCTAAGTCTTGAATGAAGAAAATTCTACCCGTTGGTAAGGAAAAATCAATATCTTGATTTTCAACGGCTAGATTGAAGATAATTATGCTGATTCAAGAACAAATGACTTGAAGACAAAGTCTGGACCTCTCAAGTTAAAGAGCCTGTTCAGAATTCCTAAACAAGCACTAGAAGACAAACAGAGTAAAGTGCTACAGTCCAGAATTCTTGAACCACAGCTAGAACACGGATTTTGTGGAAAAAGGAATCCCTCCTCAAACAATTGGGTTCGTCCAAACACCCATTCCAATGAGGAATCCTCAATCACAATCTTCATTCAAAATTGAAGCCAGCAAATGCAACGGATAGTCTACTTTGACTCAACGGATAGATTATCCAATCCAGCTATAAATAGCACCCTTGGAAGACTGGAGAAGACATGAACAATGAGATAGACAAACACAACAAAGCAATCTCTAACAACAAAGCTATCCAATTCACAGTTAGCCCAAAAAGCTTGATAAAGAGAGATTTCTAAACTCCTTATCCAAAAGAAAACTTCTCCTCCTTCCAAAGGGCTATAGTGTAAACACTTGAAGGTTTCCTTGCCTCAAGTACCACACCACATTGAAGGATATAACTTTTGATCAAACTTCTTGATTAAAAGGGGGTAGATCAACTTTCTTACAAGTTGATCTTGCAAGTCCTATTGTTCGGATCTTGCAGTTGTTGAAGAAGCGTGGCCTTCGAAGGATAAAACAAAGCCAGCACGAGTGTAGTAGCAACATTGGCCTTGCGAAGATATACCGTGCAGAAATTCACACAAGTGTAATTGTTGGTTCATTATTCAACAACCAACTACATAGTGGAATTTGAGGACTTAGAAGGATTACCTCACCTTCGAAACTCGTTAAAGTTTGCGTGTCTCTCTCTTTTATCTTTACTCTTACTTGCAATTATATTAACTGTGAAAACTAACCCATCCATATTGAATAGTGCTCACACTACCCACCAAATTCCGCACACAATCTAAAGTTCACAAGAGCTCTAGATTAACACTCATTTTCACGTTTTCAAAAGAAACAAAAAAGTTTTAAATTTGTAACAAAGTCTATTCACCCCCCTTCTAGACTTTGTATCTCACCACTTTGGGACCACCAAATAATGTAAACATTTATTAATATATCCCCAGTGATTCCTAGGCCAATATATACGATTTTTACGTAGTTAACGTTTTAATGACTAACCTACAAACATGCATAGATTCTACGTAGATTGCGTACGATATTCTTATGAATATAACGACATAGATTATAACTAAATGTTCTACAATTAGAGGAGACAACTGTTGGGTTCTACGCTTGGATAGGGCAGCGAAAATATAAAAATTTTAGGTCCAAACGTAGATCCACCCAAGACCTCTTATGATTATTATAAGTTATTGTTTAGAAAGATACCTTTCTTCGCGAGCAAGTAACGATATGTGTAGGTTGATGGATTGATCCAAGAGCTAGCCACAAAAGTATATGACCTCCAGTTTAGACACACAAACAACGAAGAGTGTTCTAGAGAAAATTATGCTAGTAATTTTACTCTAGAATATTCCTAAAATATAAAATATTTGGTGTAAAGTAGTAAGAGAACAAAACAAATTTTTCTCTTAAAATTGTGGTAGGGCCAAAAATTCCATGTGTTCAAAAGAGGTGGGATGATCTCCTATTTATAAGGAGCATAATCCCCACTCCTATTCCTAATAGGAATGTACCTTTTAGAGTTTAGGAATAAAATCAAATCCCATTCCTATTCTACTTAGAAAATTTCAAATGGCACTTTAAGGAAGTTTCCAATTTATTTTGTCAACTTTAATAATTATCATATAATTAACACAAAATAAATAATATAACATTTATTATATATAAAATATATACGAAACATATTTTTTTAACAAGCAATAAAAAAACCAGCCTTTGAGTCTCTTATCTGTGCCATAGTAAGATACATGCTAAACAGTGATCATCAAATTCATCAGTCGATTTGAATCAAAACTGAAATATTATTAGTAACCAAGACAAAAAAAACACATTCGAAACCAAAGTATCATCTGACACCCATAAGCATGTCAATTTTTTTCAATTGTTTTTGTTGACATTTCCATCATCAATGAAACACAAACCCCAATAGACACTAGAATCCTAAGCCTTCATGCATAGTTCAAGCGGAATATGTCATTGTGCACGTAAAAACTTCCATTGGGTGTTGGCATCAAGTGAAACATCTGGCTGAACTTGAGGGCGTGCTGCTCGCCGGCGAGTTGGAGGCTGCCGCTGACGAAGACGATGAAGCCGCCTTGAGTGACAGAGGGCTGGCAGTCGACGGTGGTAACGTTGTGCTTGCACTGCTGGAAGGGGAGGCCGGTGAGCTTGCTGACGATGTTGGCGGAGCGGAGAATCTTCTGTCCCTCGAATGTCAACATGGAGCCTTCGTGGTAGAGACCGGCCAGATTGGCGCGATTGGATTCGAAGGTGGAGTAGTAGTGCTCGACAAATGCCTTCGCCAGTGCGTCCGGATCCATTCTCGCCATCTCGATCGATCTGATCTCTCCGCAAAATCTCATATATACGAAACATATATATATATATATATATATATATATATATATATATATATGTTTCGTATATATGAGATTTTGCGGAGAGATCAGATCGATCGAGATCGCGAGAATGGATCCGGACGCACTGGNACAATATTTCTAAAAAGAAAAAATTACATTGAATATTGGGGGAGACCTAAAGTCCCTATTACATTCTAAATACATCATCATCAAAATCTATAATATTTTTCCCAACAATATATATATATATATATATATATATATATATATATATATATATATATATATATATATATATATATATATATTATTTAAATATAAATTTATTGAAAGAGAAGAAAATACAAAGGAGGGGGTTGTTTTCGCCCTTTTTGATGATGACAAACAAGTGTTTAAGAGTTCCGGTCGCTGTACTGAGAACTAATTTTATAACTTTCTTTTAGTTTCTCATAATATACAGCTTGTTAACAAAAACTTTTAAGCAAATACAATTCAGATTACAATAATTCCTAAACCAACTCTTGTCTTGAGATTTTGTGATATCTTTCGCCATTGACCGTTTTCAGGTTCAGCAGATCCTTCTTGACGGAACGGTTGGCGTTGCGTTTGATAGATCTTTATTATCCAAAGTGGATAACAGAGATCTGGGAAGCAACACATCTCTCAAAAAATACAAACAGAAATGAAAGAAGAAAACAAAAGAAAGATAAAAAGACAAGAAAGAAAAGGTTTTGGGAAAAAAAAAAGAATTTAAAGATGAAGGGAATAAAAAGGTTTTAAAAGAAAAATTAAAGATGAAGGCAAAAACAAAAAAAAATTTAAAGACGAAGGAAAGAAAATGTTTAAGAAAGAGAACAGATTCTGCACAAAAAGAAATTTGAAGAGGGAGAAGGGTGCAGAGACTGTCCAAAAAAAATTTTTAGAAAAAGAAAAGAAAAGAAAGGGAGGGGAAAGAGGTCAAGGTAAAAATAAAATAAAATAGAGAGAGTGTTGTTCCAGAGAAAGTGTATGATATAATCCTGAAAAATACGAGAATTACATCATATACATTCTCTACTGCCGAGAATTACATCATATACTTTGAATTACTTTCCTTCTCACTAGGCTTTTCTCCATTGCCGTCTATGAGGGTGAGGAAGAGAAATTTCTCCATAGAGAGTATTTTTCTTGATGTTTTTCTCAGACAGTGAACTTGAAGACTTTCATATTGATAGAGTTGTTTGTGATGGAAATGGATTGGAATGTCTTGATTTAAATAGGGGAGGAGGAGGTTCACGGGTTCCATTAAGTGAGTAGTTGGAACGGTGAGAGTAAAAGAGTTTCAACTTCCAAGAAGTTGAATTTTGAAAAGTTGAAGGAATCTTTTACCAGTTACCAAATAATTGAAACTGTTCCAAATAGAAACTCAGTTTCGTTTGGTTTGAGAAACGTAACTGTTTTAGTTTGGCTAAGCCCAAAAGAGTGGCCCAAGAAGAAAACTATGTACTAAAGGGAAATTATTCCTATTGGGTTCTCAAGGCCCAAAATAAAACTATCATTTTTCATTCCCTATAGTTCTAATTTCTAATTAGGACGAGGTAGTACCAAAAACAGATATGAATTTTATTTTTAAAAGAAAAGTGGTACTATTTTTCCAAAGTCCTGTACATTATAAAAATCCTAAGGACCAGTACTTTTAGAGCTAGTTGGAAATGAATTAAGAATTAAAGCTTAGTTTAAGAAGGCAGATTTTGTAAAGTACCTGAATCGGAGGTTTCCAATTTTAGTACCAAAACTGAGATATCCGTCTTCCATTGCTTAGAGCTCATCAATAATTCATTGCCAAAAACAATTGTTAGCGAAAAACTAGTTAAGTTCCCCCTGAATTACATTCCCCCTGAATGTATGCGCTTAAGAAAAATATTTTCAAAATCATACTTGAGATGAGCATAATCAAGCATAGTAAGCACAATTAAGAGCAATGTTTAAACCAATCAAGCATTGTTTAAACAACAAGGTGTTTTCATCAAAACAAATTAGTGTTTTCACATACTTTCCCCCTGGTTTGATGAAAAGAACCTTTACTTTCTCTTGCACTTTGAAGATCCGGCAGCCTCACTGATGCCTTGCATGTTTCCACAGAGTTGTCTGATACGCCTTAAATTGTTGCGTCTTTCCTCTGTTAGGACATCATTTGAGAAGTGGGCAGCAATTGTTCCTATACCTTCTGTTCCATCTTGTCCTGAGCTAGATAGATGTTGTGCTGAATTCTCTGGACTTCTTTGTTGTGCTTCAAGGATTAGATTTGTCATGTTCAGATGAGAAGGAATATAAGAGACTTCTCCTTCTTTGACTGCAATGGGGAGCTGTGGTATTGGAGATGGACTGTGTTGTTGGAGAATTACTTCCATCTTGCGATTTCCAGAATTTGCGCCAATAAGTCTGAACAACTTGAATGCTTCCTTCTGATTGTCAATGATCATCTTCAAGTAGTCTTTGGTCACTACCTGATTTGTTGAGGCTACTGCTAATGTTGATCTGATGTCCATTTGAAGAAGGGACATCTGTTTTTGTAGACCAACTGTGACACTCGCTATTTGCTCTTTGACTTTGTTGATCTCCTTGAGTTGAAGTTGACTGTCAGAGGCATATATCTCCATCGTGTTGCTCACAGTTTTACTCAATAGAGAGATGATCTCTAGAGTCTTTTCTACTGATTTGCTTATTTCTTTGAGATCTGTGCTGTGTTTTTCTTCTGATTTCTCTATCAGCTGAGTGTACCTGGCTTCCATTTGCTCTATCTCTTGCCTAAAGGAGGCATGTTGAGATGCTAGGGCTGATTCAATTAGCCCTTGGACCTTCTTTGTCCAGATTTCCGGTATCTCATCCGGAAGAGTATGAGTGGAGGAGCTATGGAAATGGAAATTGGTTACCTGATGAGAAGATGGTGTTCTTTGGAAGAGTTGCATAGGAAGAGATTCAGCATCTTCTTGTACATCTTCTTCATCAGTAACCTTCAGTGTTCTCTCAGACTCTCCTTCTGCTTCATCAAGCGCAAAATTTGATATATATCTAGAGAGGGAGTCACTATCTTCAGCTTCATTCAGTTCTTCAAACATGGCTATTGGAGTTTGAGAGACCTCCACTTCTGCCATTTGAGTTTCCTTTTCAGCTTCTCCAGAATTTCTTTGGACTTCTACAGCTTGCTCCATTGTTTCTGGAAGAGCTGACTGTTCCAGAAATTCTGCTGACTTCTCCGGGATCTCAAGTTCTGGCTGGTTGGAGATCTCACAAGGAGTTGTGAGAATCTCGAACACTTGAGATTGGATCAGTTGCTGAAATTCTTCTTCTTCTGCTATTTCATGGTTCTGTTCTTGTAGGGGAGAGGCTGCCTTCTCTTGATAAACAGGTGAGGTTTCCGGAAAGATTTGAAACTCTTCTGATGTTGGTTCCAGGTCAGCTATTGCTTCAAAAGTGATAATTACTTGATCTTTTGTGACTCTAGAAAAGATTGGCTTATAAACTGCAGTGTCTTCATCATCTGCTTCAAAATCTGAAACTGGTGTGGTGGCCAAGTGTTCCAGATGCAGATCCTCATTGTTCCTTTGCCATACCCAGTAGTCATCCAACATATCTTCACAGCAGTGGTTGACTGGTAGTCCTAGGCATTTCTTGATGATCTTCTCATTCTTGAGTTGTTGATCCCAATCCAACACTTGCTCTGCTGAATTTCCAACTTTCCAAGCTCTCCAATTATAGTAGAGCTGCGAGAATTTGTTTTCAGCAACATCTGAGATGAGGGGGTTGGAAGGCTTTGGACTTTAGGAATTTCTTCTTCTTCAAGTTGTTGAGGACTTCGGTTTTGGGCAGAGGTTTCCTCAGCAGGTTCCTTCTCCTTCAACTTATCTGTGTTGACATTTCCAGATGTTGAAGGAGAGGTGATTTTCCTCTTCTTCTTCCTTTGAAGTTCTCCTTGGACAGAGACTTCTTCTTCTTCTTCCAAATTGATCAAGGCAAGGTTCTGTGATGCTTCAACACTTGGAGAGGGAGACACCACATGCTTCCTTTTGGCAGTGTTTGTCAGATGGATGAGTGGGACATTATCTGAAGAGCTTTCCTCAGCAGTAGCACTAGCACCAGCTCTATTTTCCCCTTTTGAAGACAGATAGTATAACCAATATCTTTCTTCATACTTCTTTCCTTTAGAAGCAGCACCCATAGACTCCAAAATATGTCCAATATACAGACCTTGACAAAGATACTTCTGGTTGTGCTTTCCCAGATGTTTTGAGATGGATTTGAAGAAATGTGCAGCCCAGTTTACCTTAGATTTGGTAATGAGAGCGTTGATGATGAAGGCTCTCTCCTGGGTGATGTCATCAGCATGACCTCCACTTCCACACTCAAGGCATGCGATGACCAGTTCCAAAACTAACTTGTAGTCGTTGTTCAGATCTTCTTTCTTCGCTAGGCCAGAATGAATTTGCCTAGAAATTCCAATGATGTTCCAGTCCAGATTTTTGACTGGAAATCTCCCAACTTCAGCTCCAGAGTTGGGAAGTTGAAGCTTTTCTCCCAGTTTCTTCTGCGAAAGCTTCACTTTGGTACCTCCAACAGTGGATTTGATGACTTGAATCATCCTCTGTGGGTCCTTCTTTGATTTAACAGACTTGACTTCTCCATTTCTGTAGAGTTCAAGAACTTTTTCTTCAAATTTGAGGCGAATCTCCATTTGAAGAAATTCGGAGAGTTCTTGAGCAGCTATCATCTCCAGATAGCTTTGATAGAACGCCGGTGAAGAGCATTTGGCTTCCAACTTCTAGAAATGAACATTTGCGCCGACAACCTTCATTTTCTCAGAAATTTGAGTGAAGATTTTAAGAATTCTGAAGAAAAAAAATTTAGGGTTTTTGAGAGAATTTAGGTTTCTCACAAAGAAGATGACGGAACAGAGATTTGAATAGTGGCGATTGAGTTTAATTTGGGCGATTTATGCGACTGGTGGCGATTGAGTTTTTGACTATTCCCAAGGCCACATGCCTACCCAATATTTTGACAGACGTGGAAAGTGATCTGCCACGTGTACCGCACTCGGTCTAATTGAATTAGACCAATTTTGTGAAGCAAATCGGAAAACTTGGCTTTACTTAGTGGTTTTGTGAAGATATCCGCCAGTTGTTCTTCAGTTGAGATATACTCAATTTTGATATCTTTCTTTTCCACATGATCTCTGATGAAGTGATGCTTGACATCATTGTGCTTAGTGCGAGAATGATGCACTGGGTTTTGAGATATGGCTATAGCACTTTGATTGTCACAAAAGATTGTCACTTCCTTTGTCTTGACTCCATAGTCCAGTAGTTGTTGCTTCAGCCACAAAATCTGAGCACAGCAACTACCAGCAGCAATGTACTCTACTTCTACTGTTGATGTAGAAATGGAGTTTTACTTCTTACTAAACCAAGAAACAAGATTTCCGCCAATGAATTGACCAGATGTACTTTTCCGGTCAACTTTGCATCCGGCAAAGTCAGAATCTAAGTATCCCACTAACTCAATTGAATTGCTCTTAGCATACCATAAACCCATGTTCTGAGTTCCTTTGAGGTATCTAAGAATTCTTTTAGCTTCTATCAGATGACTTTCCTTTGGCTTTGACTGGAATCTGGCACAAACACCTACTGCATATGAGATATCCGGACGGCTTGCAGTAAGGTAGAGTAGAGATCCTAAAATTCCTCTGTAGAGAGTTTGATCTACATTCTTTCCATCTACATCCATATCAAGTTTGGTGGATGTACTCATGGGGACATAAACGGGTGACTTCTGATCAACTTTGAATTTCTTGCTAAGATCCCTTGTGTACTTGGCTTGATTGATGAGAGTTCCTTCACTTCTCTGTTTGATTTGAAGACCAAGGAAGAAATTGAGTTCCCCCCATCATGCTCATCTCAAATTTTGCTTGCATGAGGGTTGAGAACTTGGTGCAAAGATCTTCCTTAGTTGAGCCAAATATGATGTCGTCCATGTAAATTTGGACTAATAGGAGATCTTCTCCATCTTGTAGTTTGAATAGTGTCTTGTCAATAACTCCTTTGGTGAATCCATTGTCTATAAGAAATTGAGACAATGTATCATACCAAGCTCTTGGTGCTTGTTTGAGTCCATACAGCGCCTTTTTGAGTCTCTACACTTGATCTCCTTTAGTGTGTAACTCAAATCCTGGAGGTTCTTCCACATAAACTTCTTCCTCTAGGTTTCCATTGAGGAACGCGCTTTTGACATCCATTTGATAGACTTTGAAGTCCTTGTGAGTAGCAAAGGCTAGAAACAGCCTTATAGCTTCAAGTCTAGCAACTGGAGCGAAGGTTTCATCAAAATCTATACCTTCTTCTTGACAATATCCTTTTGCAACTAACCGGGCTTTGTTTCTGACAACAACGCCGTTTTCATCCATCTTGTTCCGGAAGACCCACTTTGTCCCAATGACATGTTGATGAGTAGGTCTGGGAACAAGTTTCCAGACATCATTTCTGGAAAATTGCTTGAGTTCTTCTTGCATTGCATTGATCCAATCAGAATCAGCTAGAGCTTCTTCAATATTCTTTGGTTCCACTTGTGAGATGAAACAAGCAAGCATAGCTTCTAGATTCTATTGGGCACTCCTTGTGCGAACGCCAGATTGAATGTCTCCAATGATCTGTTGAGGAGGATGATCCCTTAACCAACGAAGATTGTGTTGATTGGGATTGACTGGTTGATCTAGTTCAGCTTCTGGTTGAAGAACAGAAGTTGTTGGTGTTTCCGGATGGATTGGCACTAGGTCGCCATTTCCGGAATTGTCACCGTTTGAGAGATCCGAAATATCGGAAGGCTGGCCAAGATTTCCGGAAGGCTCAGTTCTATTTGAGTCCGGATTTCTCTGTGAAGTCTTCAGAGGCAGACTTCTGAATGGAATGAACTCCGTGGGCTTCATTCTATCTCCTTCATTGACTTCTTCATCCTTGTCTGATAGATCCAGAACCTCATGATCATGCTTTGATGGCTTGTCAACCACATGTTTTTCATCAAAAATAACATGTATTGACTCTTAAGTGATCATGGTTCTTTTGTTGAAGACTCTAAATGCCTTGCTCACCATGGAATATCCTAGGAAGATGGCCTCATCTGATTTCTCATCAAAAGTGTTCAGATGATTCTTCCTGTTGTTTAACACAAAACACTTGCTCCCAAAAATATGGAAATATGATATATTAGGCTTTCTCCCGTTCCACAGTTCATAAGGAGTTTTGTTGTGCCTTTTATAAATCATACTCCTATTTTGAGTATAGCAAGCCGTGTTAACAGCTTCGGCCCAGAACCTCTTTGGCAAGGATGCTTCTGCTAGCATGGTTCTTATTGCTTCCTTCAAGGTTCTGTTTCTTCTTTTAGCTACACCATTCTGTTGAGGTGTCCTTGCTACGGATGTCTGATGAAGAATTCCGTTTTCTTCACAATAATGAATGATGATTTCATTCAGGAATTCTGTGCCTTTGTCAGATCTGATCTTCTGAATGATCTGACTTGCTTGGTTTTGAATCAGCTTCATACAGTTGGTGAGTTTCCCTTGAGTCTCCTTTTTGCCGTTGAGGAAGATTGCCCACGTGTATCTTGAATAATCATCAACTACCACCAGGACATATTTTTTTCGACTTAGACTTATTGGTGTAACAGGGCCAAATAAGTCCATGTGAATAAGACTTAATATCCTTGTAGTTGAGGGTGCCAGTTTTGCCTTGAAAGTAGACTTGACTTGCTTTCCTTTCTGGCAAGCATCACAAATGCTTTCCTTCCTGAATACAGTTTTGGGAAGACCTTCTACTAACCCTTCTTTGGACAGCTTGTTGAGAGTTTTGAAGTTGAGATGACTCAACCTCTTATGCCAAAGCCATAGAAGGTTAGTATCACCTTTGCTGATTAGACAAGCTTCCTTGACATCATCCCATATTACTTCATATATGTTTCTGATTCTCTTCCCAGTGAGAATGACTTCATTTGTGGAGATGTTCTTGAGAGATGCCATGTCCTTGTAGAATTCCAAGGAGTAACCTTTATCACAAAACTGACTTATGCTAAGAAGGTTATAATTGAGACCTTCAACATAAGATACAGCTTGGATGGTTAGTCCCTTGTACACCAGATTTCCTAGCCCTTTAGTATGGCCAAAATCATTGCTTCCTCCAAAAGTAAGTCTTGGACCATCATAGGGAATTAGATTGCTCAAAAGGCTCGCATCACCCGTCAGGTGTCTTGAACAGCCACTGTCTAAGTACCAGACACCTGGGTACTTAGCGGCTTCCTGCATTAGGAGGAGGAAGATTTTGGTACCCAATTAAGTTTGGGTCCAGAGTAGTTAATGGTGTGTGTCCCTACATCAAGTTTGAAGTTGCAGGGAATTTTCCTTGTAGCTTTAAACTTGTTAGGATTGTAATCATAGTTGTAGGCATAAAACTTCCTACGTGTAGGAGGTGCAATTTCCTGTTTCCTCCTAACAAACCTAGGTTGGTAAGACCTATAGCTTTGTCTAGGTTGAGCATAGTGTGACCTGTGTCGGTTATAAGCATACTTAGGTGGCACAAATAGTTTCTGGGGTGGAGGATGACTATATCTTGGCATAGTTCTCCACTCAGAATTTCTTGGAAAACTCCTATCTACCCCTTAATGAGTATAGCCTCGTGTATAGTGGGGGTTAGAAGGTTTTCTTCTGAAATTATTTCCTTTTTGAGGTCTGTCCAGCTTCCTATAGTTCTTAGGAGGAACAACCTTTTTGGGAACTTTTGTTGGTTTCTCCTTTTCCTTTCCTTTCTGCTTATTTGGTTTAGCAGTAGGTTTAGGAGGGATGAAAGTTGTTCTCCCTTTCCTTTTGGAACTAGAGGCGTCAAACCCAAGTCCTTTACGACCCTTATGGTTGGTTGTTTCAAGAAGCTTATCCACTTCTTCTTTGGACTTAAGTATCCCTAGTTCTTTGCTAAGGGATTTCACCTTTTTAGAGAGAGATTCATTTTCAGTCTTAAGCTGAGTGATCTCATCCAGTTGACTTTTCCGACCTTCAGTCAACTTGAGATTCTCTTCACTCAATAGTTTGTTCTCCTCTGTTAAGGATGAATGTTTGAGATTTATTTCCTCAAAATCTTCCATCATCTTTTTGAACCGGTCAAAAAGATTTTCAGAAGTTGATATGCTTTCATAAGAAGATGAGCATGAGGTTTGTGAAGTTACCTCTTGTTCAGCATCATCTTTGGCCATTAGACAGAGGGTGTCATCTTCTGACATAGTCCACCTATCCTCATGGTTGGACTTATCAGCTCTGCGCTCCATGCAGACGAGAGCTTCTTCATCTGAGCTTGAGCTGGATGACTCGTCACTTTCAGCAGCAACCATTGCCTTCTTTTTCTTCTCGTTCCTTTCTCTTTCTCCGTACTTCTCCACCTTTGGGTACAGGCATGCTGACTTCCAGTGGCCAGGTTTCCTGCAGTTATAGCATAAATAAGATTCAGGAGGGGAGTCACTTACCTGTGGCTTTCCCTTGGATGGCCTTTTGACTGAGTCAGTCTTTTTGAAGAACTTCTTGAACTTCCGGAATTGCTTGACCATCATGGCAAATTCCTCATCATAGTTCTCCATTTTTGAGCTTGACGGCTGGCTGGAGGAGGGTGTGTCACAGTTCCTTGGGCATGTCCCTTCACTTCATGGGACTCTTGGAGTTGTCATCAGTGTCGTGGGGAAGGGAGTGACGGTTCTTCCATCTTCTTCTTCAGCTCGTGCTCATAGGTTCTGAGCTCATCAAGGAGACCCTGGATAGTGTAGTTTTCCAGGTTTCTTCCTTCTTCCATGGCTGTGGCTTTGGTGTACCACTCGGTTGGAAGTGATCTCAGTAACCTTACATTCTTTTCTTTGGGAGAAAGAACGTGGTTAAGTGATGCAAGATCATTCAAGATTTTGTGGAATCTTTCATCCAACATATCGAATGATTCTCCGGGAAGCATTTTGAAGCTTTTGAACTTCTCAAGCAGGACCTCTATCTTCTGCTTTCTCAAGTCTTCTGATCCCTCACATAGCTTCCCAAGACCTTGCCATATCTCCATGGCAGTCTTGAGATGCTTGATTTTGGAGAAGGTGATGGGATCAAGTGTCTTGAAGATGGCTGCTTTGGCGACGTTGTCCAGATTGTGCTTTTTGCAATCTCTATCATCCCATTTTTCTTTGGGCTTTGGAATGTACCGGACTACATCTGGAGTTGCTGGATTTCTCTCAAGGTTCTCCATTTGGATTTTCAAGGGTCCATCCTCAAGCACCATCCACATGCAGTCATGTAGAGCATAGAGATGTGCTTCCATCATGATCTTCCAATCATCATAACCTAGAAGAGAAAACTTGGGCAAACCGTGATCCATATTGTTCACCATTATGATCGCTTCTCGTTAATCTAAACGTAGATAGTGAGAAGTAAGCTCTGATACCAATTGGTGGTCCCAAAATGGTGAGATACAAAGTCTAGAGGGGGGGAGGGGTGAATAGACTTTGTTACAGATTTGAAAAACTTTTTCGTTTCTTTTGAAAACGTAAAAATGAGTGTAAATCTAGAGTTCTTGTGAACTTTAGATTGTGTGCGGAATTTGGTGGGTAGAGTGAGCAGTAATCAATATGGATGGATTAGTCTTCACAGTTAATATAATTGCAAGTAAGAGTAAAGATAAAAGAGAGAGACACACAAACTTTAACGAGGTTCGAAGGTGGGGTAATCCTTCTACGTCCTCAAAATCCACTATGTAGTTGGTTGTTGAATAATGAACCAACAATTACACTTGTGTGAATTTCTGCACGGTATATCTTCGCAAGGCCAATGTTGCTACTGCACTCGTGCTGGCTTTGTTGTTCCTTCGAAGGTCACGCTTCTTCAACAACTGCAAGGTCCGAACAATAGGACTTGCAAGACCAACTTGTAAGAAAGTTGACCTACCCCCTTTTAATCAAGAAA